TCCCTCCCTCCCTCCCTCCCTCCCGCCGGTGACTCCCCGTGTCGTTTCCCTCCCAGGAGCGGGGCACCCCATGAAGCCGCATCGCCTGGCGCTGACCCACAGCCTGGTCCTGCACTACGGGCTCTACAAGAAGATGATCGTAAGCGGCCCTTCTCCTGGGGTCCAACGGGGGCCCCCCCTACCCAGGCGGCGGGGGAAGAGGGGATGCAGCAGGTGGCTTTGGGCAGGCAGCCGCCAGAGTGGGTGTTTCAGGGTTTGGCACATATGAAAGGTGCCGGAGAGCTGTGCGCTGTCCTGCCGACTTCAGTTGTGGCCTCTGTGTTAGGGCTTGGACTGTGTTAGTAGGTGTTTTGCAGCTTTCTTGTGCCACTGCCTCTCCTTCAGCTCCACTTTTGGCACAGCAGGTAACAGAGTTGTTCCAGACAAGGCTTTAAGCAGTCTCAGGCATCCTCATCGGCCTGAGCCCCCACCATACCACCCAGATCTGATTTGAAAGGCACCATCGTTGGTTGTCAGTGTCTTGTTCAAACTTGTGCATACAGTGCTGTGCCTGGAGCTGCAGCGTTGCCACTGTTGACCGTACATGAAATTTCTGTGTCTGTAGCCCCTCCTAGGAAGGACCCAGTGATGACTGAGGGCTGTGTCATCATAGAATAGTAAAGCTGAAAAAAACCCCTCAAGAGGCTTGCTAATTCACCTTGATGCCTTTAATGGGCTTCACTAATCCCATCTCATACCTGATAAATGATTGGCCAGCCTGCTTTTCAAAGTCTTTGTTGCCCAGCCAGCTCAAACAACCTAGTCCAGTGCACTGCAGTTGTTACTGTTAGAAGGACTTTTCTCTTCCTGAAATCCAGCCTGTGTAAACCTGGTAAAACATGATCAGCATGTAGCGATAATCAAAAAGAAAACTTAAATCTTCATCTTTCAAGAAATGAACTAGTTTTGGGATGATGGAATATCACTACGAATGTATGGCACCCCTCTTTTGAAGTATTTTATTTCACTTGATGCAAGCAGGATTGAACCATCCTCATTTCCCTAGAATCCTTGTTCAGTTTTCTGCCCGCTTTTGCAGCACAGAGCAAATGAAAAGCGCTCAGGAGTACAGGGCATGTAACTTAATGCGTCACGATACAAGATCAAGGCAGGAATAGTAAAAATCTTCTACCATTCTGCCCCTTTTGAGATGGCTTTTGCCCATTTTGACGTGCAGAGCATGCCACCTGCAGCTGCTAATCGTTTTGGGGCAACTTGTTTTGTCTCCTGTTGGCTTATTCTTGCTTTTGGTGCAGCGGCATTGCTTCTAGGCTGTTTCGGACCATTGAACGATTTAATTCCTGGGCCGACTGGTGCAGTTCCAGGTCGTGCTATCTGATCCAGAGGGTGTAGTTGCTGCCTATTGTCTCCGCAGCCTGTGATTTGTTTGATGTGCCCTGGGGAAAGGCCTCTACCCAGAATGTTATTCTAAACATTGTAGGCTACAGCTCTAGGCACTTCTGGTTTTATGTACATGTATGTATGTGTACAGGGACATAAATGCATTTACGGTGTCTTTTCATGGGAATTACCTCATTAAAAGAGGTGAAGGGCATTTCTGTCACAGTCATCCCGTGCATAGCTAGCAAACAGGGAGAGGAGGGGAAAAATGGGTACAAAACTGTCATTGCTCCAGTCTGTGAGGGATGTTTTGACTTTCCCCTATCCTTTTCTCTGTGTTCATGCATCCCATGTGCATTCCTCACCCTTCTGCAGTCAGGCTCTGCTCTGTGTGATGCTCTGCAAACCAGCCACTTCCCCTGTTACTCGTGAGCCTGAACTGGATGACCCTGCAGGTTACTTGAAGCCATGTGCTCTCAAAATGATTGTAGGACTCGATTGTAGATTATTGCTTGCAGTTGTAGATGATTGCAAGTAACTGGTAATAGAGTCAGGCTTATTTTGAGGCTATGGAGAAGAAAGCGTGATCATCTTGTCTCAGTGATGTGTTTTCACATCTGCAGTATGCTTTAGGGATAAATCATGAACTGCTGTGGAAACACGGTGATCGTGCAGAGCTGTCAGACAGAAGCGTGCAAATTCCAGTCCCTCTCCAGCTAGAGCAGGCATTTCTCCAGACTGTGATTAGCTTCCCAGGTTCCCTCATCCCCACCATTAGATGTTAAGCAAAACTATAACCAACTTTGACTGCGCCCTCAAAGACCTGACTAAATATTTAGTTGTTGTGATACCAAAAAAAGATTGTCCTTAAATGTCACTTCTCAAGAACTTGAGAATCAGGTAATGTTAAAATTAAAGTTGTATCACTGTGAGCACAAGAGAGCAGGATTAGACCAGTGATTTTAATTCTGGCATGTTTACAGTGTTTTCTCCACTATATGGGCAGGACAAAGTGCAAAATTCTTGCAAGCGTGATAGCAGTACAGTTTTCCTGCTTTTTATTTTTTAGGCCAAAGTCTGAACAGCCAAACTGATACAAGTGGGACAGAGAGAAAAGCTAGATCTTGGCTGCTTTGTACCTGCCCGTCCATGCTGCACAACTTTGTCATTGTCTCTAGCACTGTACGAGTGCCTGGCGTTTGGCATGGGCTCAAGTTCAAGCTCTTCCACTGCCAGCATATCTGCTTCTGTGGTGAGAGACTTGCAGATTGAGTGAAGGCAAATAGAAAATAAGCTGTCCAAAACCTAAAGCACAATATCAATTTTTAAAGGAAGGTGCTAGAATGGACAAGTTCCTTGATGCAATACATAAAATTAATTTGGTATGTTTAAACATTAGAAAAGCTTCCCTGTGTAATTAATATAATTCCCTAGTAAAATCGCATCCAGCTGCGGTGACCTGTGGTTGTGCTCGCAGGGTGGGATGCAGCTGGAGTACACTCAGGGCACGTGGAATCTTTGCAGAATTTATCTTTCAGATTTTTACTGTAAATGTATGAACTTCTAGGAATAACTTCCCTAGGGTTGGAATTTTTCTTGTAGAAAGAGCAAAAAGTATATTCTGACATAACACTTCTAAATGTCAAATCCATGTCTGAATGAGGCAGTAGGCAGAGCTGTACGCTTCACCATATTTTTAGTCTTGAAACCCTTTTTTGGGGGTTATATTTTCCACAAGATGCCATCATGAAGGTAAAAACTGCAGAGGAAACTTCATCCTGAACAGCCAGTGACTAGAAAAGTTACGAGCAAATAAAAGCAGGGATTATGGTCAGTTGTGACTATAAAAGCTCCTGTTAACTTTGTGTTGCGGTTATATCATTATCTGCCCTCTCTACCTCCAAATAAAAGGCCGCTATCCTGTCGAGCTAGGTTTGCGTCTTCGCACCTTTCCCAGCTTATCTGTGGCTGCAGCGCACAAGAACGCGGTGAACCAAGGCGCAGCATTGCTGAAAGAGGGAGGGTTGTCCTGCTGCTCACCTTCCCTGCTCCTCTGCTGCATCTTCCCGCTGTCTTTCTTGTGCTGTGTCTGGAATCTGTTTGATCCCTGTGTGAACTGATGCAACTCGGCAAAGCCAGGAAAGTTTTCTGTACAGTTAGAAAAACAAGGCAGCAGACAGAGGGGGCTGAGTGCCAGAGCTTGCTTAGGAAGGTGGGTGGGATTGCTGGGTGAAGGGTGGAAGGAGGCAGGTTTCTTCTGCCAGCAGCTGAGTCAGTGTTGAAGCTTTTGGTCTTTCCCCCCCCTTTCTGTTTTGAATCACGTCTCTACTTTTTGTGGTCCAGGAGAGCCTCTGGATATCCTGTGAGAGCTATTTCTTTGTGAGAGCTCTTTAGTGTTGGTTTTGGTCTTGTTTGATTTAATCAGCCATCTGGATTCCTGGGAGGTACCTGTGCAGAGCCCTTGTGGGAAATAGGTCTTGCCTTCACCCTTAGCAGCTGCACTAATGGCTCATGCTTGTAAGTCACCTTATCTTCCTTGTTTGAGTTGTCAGAGGCAGCAGCCTTGGAGAGACATCAAACCCCATGCATCCATGTGGGAAACATCATAGCACATGCAGATCAGTTCAGGAAAGGAGACGACGTGTTTGTTAGGGTGTATTGTGTCTCTCAAAATTAACAGGTTTCCTGCTTAGCCCAGGAAGTAGGCGCATTGGTGCGGTTGCCCTGATGAATTTTCCCTTTGGAGACAAGCTCATGCTTCTTACTATTTTTTTCATGTTCTGCTTTTTCTACAAAGTGCATGCTTTAATTAAGAGAAATTGGGAAACACAAAAAAGATCTTTTATTGATTTCAGTGCAACTTTAATTTCCTCTCGCCAGGTATGTGGTGTTAATTTTTAACTTCCTCCATGTTGAAGTATGTGTGTTTAAGTGCCAAACTGGCAAGCCTGTATTGTTACAAGATCTTTAATTTGAATCCATCCAGTTCCCTGACCATTTTTCGCCAGCTTTCCAAAGGAAGCAAAGCTTACGCAACTCTTCTGTCTGCCTGTGAGCTTTCTCCAAATAACTTTTGAACCCATCAGCCCATTACAGGCAAATCTGACAGAGGGGCTGAAACCACCACTATATCAAGGTCTTAAAATTGTATGAAAGCTGGTGACTGGTAAGGGAATAATGCCCCTCAGTGAAGAAAAAGCTGTAGTTTGAACTCAGCTGTTTATAGGCTTCATGGAGCAACTTGTTGAACTTAAATGAACACAAAAGTCAGGAACCCAATGTATTGGAAGGTTTTTAGATAAACCTTGTGCAGGTCGTTTGTCAATTAGCTTGAGATTTCTTACAGCCAAAGCAACCATGAGTTTGGATGGGAAATAAGTCTTGCCTTTCTCTCTGAAGGTTTTCAAACCATACCAGGCATCCCAGCATGACATGTGCCGATTTCACTCCGAGGACTACATAGACTTCCTGCAAAGAGTGAGTCCCAACAATATGCAGGGATTCACCAAGAGCCTCAACGCCTTCAACGTGGGCGATGACTGGTGAGTGCTCTGTGCCGCCTGCAAACCCGCAGTCAGGAAGGGTGATCCTGCATTGCTTATGTCCAGAGAGCTCTTTTAGAATGTCCCATTTCTTATTTGTTTTTAACCAGAATGAGGTGCATGTCCTTCCTGTGTGTATTACTGGAACCTCCTTGATTGCTTTCCCTTCTTTTTAGATCTTGCGGTCCTCCTTTTTAGATCTATATTTAGGCTGTAAGCTTGTTGGGTTAGAGACTACTTGTTCTTGCAGAGCCTCCAGTTCTTCTTGGACATGCTAACTGTTTTTTTAAGTAATTGCCTGTCATTTTATCTACCTTAATATGTGTATATTAAATCCAAGACAGCTTTGAGAGCCTGATTTTCAGGTAGAACTAAGGAGATACTCATGCTTCTGTACAAAACTACGTGAGATCTTGTTGACAATATTCAGTTCCAGTCTTTAATGCTTGTGAGAGATGAAACTTGAAAGAAATGTGTGGAAGGGCTCTGTGGGTGACTGAGGAAATAGCAATATGCCTTGTCTCATTGAGGATTATAAGGGCTGTCAGAGAGTAGGATTGTTCTTATGTATTCTGTGGAGGGGAAAGCTGTAAGTACTAGCATGGGAGGAGTTATGTTAGCTAGAGAACAGTCTTATCCCAAGAAGATACTAGTATGGCCTGTTTTTTTAATATTTAGGCTGAGAATCAGAAGACTGTTCTGTAACCTTGCTGCTCTGATGACCAGAAACCATCTTCTTATCAGAAATGAAAGTGGAAATAAAACCCCACAGTCTTTAAGCCATTGCTTGCCCATGAATGAAATGTGTGACATGATGCCAGCAAGCTGATGACACAGGGGCTCCATGTCCTGTGTTTCTGTACTCTCCTGGTGCCTGGGCTGGCTCTGCATGGTAGGATGGATCAGACCTCAGCGCTGTCTTAAAGACACTGTTATCTCCACGCGCTGGGCTGTGTGCTTGGAAGGAGAGGGGGCACAGGATCTTCCAGATGCAGCCAGGAGGAGGTACTGCAGTAGCAGACCAGTCCTCCCCTCTCCTGATGCAGTGTCTCACATCATGTCCTATCTCTGGGCACACGTCAGCAGGGCTGCAGGACAGATGCCAGCATGCATTGTGAGCAGGGGAGCCTTTTTGTGACTAGCTTGGAAGCTTTGGTAATCATTATCAAATTCACTGAATTTCCCATTGTGTTTGCAGCCAGATTGCCCGCCTGCTGGTACTCAGTGTGTTATAAGCAGGGTCAGAGTGGTCCCAAATTAACTCTTTCACAGAGAATGAGTTTTGATCTTGCTTTGGTAATGTCCCTGGACAGTTTTATTCCTGGCTTTGCTCTGGAGAAATGGGGAGGAATGAGAAGATGTTCTGTGTTCAAATCATGGTTTCTTTTTCAGCCCAGTGTTTCCAGGCCTCTTTGAATTTTGCTCTCGCTATACTGGGGCCTCCCTGCAGGGAGCAACACAGCTGAACAACAAGGTAACTGAGCTGATGTGCTTATCTTTTGAAATAAGCCAACTGGTTTTCAATTTAAGGAGAACCTCATGGATTTGTTTTGTAGAACAACATAGCAAGCACTGCTGTGTTGCAGTGTAAATACCTAGTGCTGTAGGGCTGTTAAGCTTGAGACCATTCCTGTACTGTCAGAGGCAACCATTTAGTAGATGTTTAGTCCGGAGGGAGTCAGAGGATACTAATGCTGCATGTACTAAAGTCACAAAGTACTCTCAGCACTGTAGAACAAACCTCAGGTCTTCAGTGAAACTGGCTGCTGGGAGACCTCGAGAGTGCTGCTAGGTCTCTGCTATGGAAATGCACTAAATGAGACCACACAGAAGGTCTGAAGAAGAGGGTCCCTCAGGAGGGTATAACGAAAAACTACAGAGGTTTGAGTCTTCTAGAGATCTGAGAAAGGTCTAATGAGCGTAAAGAACAAGTGCAGAAACAAACTGTATGTGCCGGGTGCTCTGCCTGCTGCTGGCTGGAGGGGGAGCAGTGGTGGTCGGAGATGATCTTTTCTGGCCTAATGGGGAATATAGAGCACAGGACTAATCCAGTATGGACATGATGTAACCGAAACTGTTGACTGGGCTAATGACCAAGATGGGGCTTTGGAAAGGCCAAAGGCCTTCTCCATAGGAGAAGGAAAGGCCAGAAGGGTGTTTGTGGGCCACAGAAATGGGCAGGTTGAAGTGGGTGCAAGGTGGTTGTTACCACATTGTCACCTTCAACTAACTTACCTTTCCTTTCTTAGATCTGTGATATTGCGATAAACTGGGCAGGGGGCCTGCATCATGCCAAGAAGTTTGAGGTAATGAGGCAAATCTGCGTATTCCTCTGTCTTTTTGAGGCCCAGGCTCTGTGCTGATCCCATTCTAATGCTACTTGGTTTTCTCTATCTTCCAGGCTTCTGGGTTTTGTTACGTTAATGACATAGTTATCGGCATCCTGGAGCTGCTCAAGTAAGGACATGGGGCAAGTGCAGTACTGTCCTGGCTGGCGTGTGGTTTCCCTCTGCTGCTTCACTGTTCTCTCTCCCTATTTCCCTGCCTCATTTGCCTTTATAGAGTCCAGGAAGGCCAACAACTTGATTTTTGGCCTGGCGTCCTCTTGAGGCACAAGAAGAGGGCCTTGAGAATTGGAATATCTGACTCCAGTTTTGTTGCATGCAGCTTAAGGGATACAGAAGAGTTCTTCAATTCCATTTCTCATCCATCTGTGAAATACTCATTTCAGGGTCTCCTGAGTCTCATTGTTTTTGCCACAGTGAGCCTTTTGTAGGTGAATGCAAATAATGGCTCACTGGAGACAGTTAAATGACTCAAATCTTTCTTGATTTGCTTGAGTGGCTTAAGAACAGGACTTGAGCAACACAGGGATGATCAAAGGACACTTGCTTTGAGTGGAAAAGAGTCAGATTTCTTTCTTTTTAGAAAATGAAAAATAAATTCAGAATGGGAGGAAGAGTTACAGAAATACGTTCCATTTCTTGGATTAATCTGTGTTGGTTTTTTTTTGTTGTTTACTCTCAAATACCCTCCTTGTCACTGAATCTGAGACAAGATGTTATGGAATTAAAAAAGATTTGGCGTTGACCATACAATAGTTACATGACTGGTGGCAAGCTTACTTGCTCTCAAAGTCAGATTTATGGGATGTACTGGGGTTTCTTGTACCTCCTTCCTCTCTGCCAGTCTTCCCTCCTCTGTGTTTGGAACCTCAGGTCTTCACTGCGTATCCCATTTTCTAGTCTCACGTGAGTCCCATATGCCAGAAGCTTCAAATACAGCCCAGTTACCCATCATGGGAGATTATAATATGTCCCTATTCTTTTGTTCCCTGTTTTCAGGAACCATTTCTGCAGCAGGTGGCTGCATACTTGAGTTTGCTTCCCACCATGGGAGTACTGTGGTGCCTCTGCCCTTAGAAGGTCCCTTTCTCCCTTTATCAGTGTGCAAGGGCTTTGTGTATGCATCCCCTTTTTCTCCTTGCTGTCATTTGTCTACAGGATGAATAATCTGGGCTCTTTTAGATAGTTTGTGACTCTCTTGGGAGACTGAGGCAAGGTACTGGTCTGCTAATCAGCATGGGTCAGCACCATCAACCAGTTTGATCAGATCACTGCAGACATGCTTAAAGCTGTGGTTCCAACACAGATGGCACAAATCACATGCTCCTCTTCTCTGCTTTGATGTTGTCTTGTTTTTTCCAGGTCCCTCCCCAGTCCCCTAGGATTTTGGCATGGATGTCAGATCCCCTGCTCTTTGGGCATTGACCAGATGCAGTATTTCATTATGAAAAGTTGCAGAAGTTCTCTTCAGCTGAGCAGGCAGCTCAAGAGCTGGCAGGCAGGGATGGCTTAGGACCATGTCTCCAGTGCTCAACAGCACATAAGCTTTGACCATTACCCCAATGTATTTACTTGTGATGATCTCCCCTTCTTCACCCTCCGTCCCTGTGACCCAGCCAGCTGCTTCTCCAGTAAATTTAGTCCAGCCTAGTGTTCTTGGGGCTAGCCAGCTGGGACACGGTGCTGCCAGTACTCTGGCACATGGAGGGAAGTAAGTGTTCCTACCTCCTCCTTGACTGGCTTACTTTCCATTTCCACGTATGGTTAAAAATCATTGGTGCTCTTAAAGATTAACTAATGGCATGCTGTTTGTAGAAGAAACAAAACCCCACAACTTTCTAACCCCAGGTGGTTAAAATAGGTTCTCTTTATCCTGTGCCTTCCAAGATATTTCTGGTCCCATGTGAAAACCTTTTATTCTAATATCTCTTTCTGAGCATATCAGAAGAAAATGCTTTAGTGGTGGGGCGTGTTTGACTATATACAAATGTCACGTATCTAAAGCCATTTGATATGCCTGGGGTGGGACAGGTGGGTTCTTTTGGCAAGTGGGCTTGCAGGTAGATGTCAGTGGTGGCTTTCAGTGCTCTAGGTGATACTGAGGCATGTGGGGAATAGTGAGGGTGGGTGCGGTACAGGCAGTAATGCTGTTTTTCCTCCTGTATTCAATAGATATCACCCACGTGTTCTGTATATTGATATTGATATCCATCATGGAGACGGTGTGCAGGAGGCTTTCTACTTGACAGACCGTGTCATGACAGTGTCCTTTCATAAATATGGGAACTATTTCTTTCCTGGTACAGGTATGTATTTTCCCTTATAGTGTGAACCTGGCCTTGCTTCGGAATCCTTTGAAAGCTCTGCTGGAGTATAAAAGTGTAAAATCATGAAATTAGAGCTGCAGGGAGAAATGATGGAAGAAAGGGCATGGAAAAGCAATTGGAGAGGAAGAGAAGCATAGTTATTTGTAAGAAAGAGGGATCCTAGCTAGGTTGAGAGATCTAAACCCAGACCAGATCTGGCCTTTCCGCACCTCCGAAGTCTCAGAGCTGTTGTTACTCTGCTGTCTTTCCCTGGCCAGGTGACATGTATGAAGTTGGTGCAGAGAGTGGTCGTTACTACTGTCTCAACGTGCCTCTGCGAGACGGCATTGATGACCAAAGTAGGTGTTCCCTGCTGTTTCCCCTTGTCCAGGCATTTGCTGGTCCTTCTGCTCCAGAGCCATAACAAGTTCATCTTTCTCTCCAAAGGTTATAAACACCTCTTCCAGCCAGTCATTAACCAGGTGGTAGATTACTATCAGCCCACCTGCATAGTACTGCAGGTAAGAAAGCAAGCCTCTGTGCACATGTCTGTCCCTTTCAGAGGCTGTAGGTTGGAGGGGGCTGCTATCAATGTGTTACCTTGTGTTCCCGGGGAATGAGGGCTGCTGTGTCCTAGCTGAGCTGCTCTCTATACCCTCTGGTGGATGAGGGTGGCCAAGGGGTGGGGATGCTGATGTATGTCTGGAAAGCAATGCCTCTGTAGCAAAAATTCACTTGTTCTTTTTCTGTTCCCCAGTGCGGTGCTGATTCTCTGGGTTGTGACCGTTTGGGTTGTTTTAACCTCAGTATAAGAGGACATGGGTAAGTACAGCGGGGCTGGGGCAGAGCAGTTAATTGAAAGACCATCCTTTAGTCTGAAGGGCTCTACTGAGTCCTCTGCTGTGAGGCTTGAGCTTTGACTTCGGCCTTCCAGCAGCACCAGCAGTTCTTTGGGGTTTTTTTAGCTCTTGTGTGACAGGAGGGTGTCTCAGAATGAGACTTAGTACAAGGCACTGCAGAGCAGTGGCTCACAGAGTAGCACATGGTTCAGGCTCCCTGGGTGGAAGCCCTGAACTCCAGGTGTATCACACCAGCCATGGTGGTGTTTGAGTGTACGGTGGCATTTCTGACATGTGAATGTGTGCTGCAGTTAACAGTTCTTTTGTTTCTTGTTTGGGTTTTCTAGGGAGTGTGTGGAGTATGTAAAGAGCTTCAACATCCCGTTGCTGGTACTCGGAGGAGGTGGTTACACAGTCCGCAATGTGGCGCGATGCTGGTGAGTCTCTTCTGTGCTTGTTGAAGGTCACTGGTTAAGCAGTTGCTGTGGGCTTTGTCCCTGCATGCACCATGTAGCTTTCTCTGGACTGAGCTCATTTTATTCCATGTTTTCAGGACTTACGAAACGTCATTGCTTGTAGATGAAGCAATTAGCGAAGAGCTCCCATACAGTGGTAAGCTGGAGTTGCATTTTTTCCTCATTAGCTGAAGAATTAACACTTCTATTCTGCATTGACCAGAGATAAGACCAGGGCCAGAGCAACAGCAGTTTCTGATCTTAAAAATGGCCTTAGTCATCCCCTACCGCCCACTTGCAGGCTTTGCTGGACAGACATACCCTTACTGTGTCATGTATCATTTAATTTGGATTGTTTCCTATTCAGTGACCTGAGCGTTACTTTTGCTCGCTCTGTTGTTTCATATAATTCCTTGTGATTGCAAAGCTGTGCGTCACTGTGCTTTTTAAGGTCTGATCACGGCTAGCGTGGTGGAAGAGTGAGCTCTGCTTCCCTGCAGAGCAGCTAGTGGCTGAGCTCCCTTGCCTCCCTGCTGTAACTCTCTTGCTTGTCCCATCACAGAGTACTTTGAATACTTTGCTCCAGACTTCACTCTTCACCCTGATGTCAGTACAAGGATTGAAAATCAGAACTCCAGGCAGGTAAGTGCTTGCAGCCTTGTTGCAATATCAGCTATGTAGTCCCAAAATCCTGTGCTTGATGCTCTGTCCTGTGAAACCAGGTAGAGCCCAGGCAAGGAATTCTTGTGGGTCGGAAAGCTCACGAAGAACAAGCAGAGCCTTTCCTCTATGATGGCAGAAAGTCTCATAGCATTAGAGAACCTTGCTGGGCTGTCTTACTGTTTTCTGTGTGCTTGAGTATCAATGATTGAATTAACTCTCCCACCTCCTCTGCTCTGATAAATAGCTTTTTGCACAAATGTGTTTCTCGTGGCCACCACATAGATGATGCAGGCAGATAGCAGTGCTGACAGTTGTGACTGTGCGAACTGCCAGATCTCACTGTGGTGATCCCTCTCTGTTTTTCCTATGTAGTACTTGGATCAGATCAGGCAGACAATATTTGAGAATCTGAAAATGCTGAACCATGCTCCCAGCGTGCAGATCCATGATGTTCCTTCTGACTTGCTCAGCTATGATCGCACAGATGAGCCTGATCCAGAGGAAAGAGGCTCTGAGGAAAACTACAGCAGGTACCAGCTCTCTTGTTCTGGAGAAATAGGCTTCCCTTTCTGTCTGTGCTAGGATGGGCAGATGATACGCTGGAGACGGTCTGTTTCCTAGAACAGATACTAAGTTACTTCTGAGTCCCTGGTTTTATCAAGGGAGCCTTTCTCTGGAAATGTGTGGTCTCCTCACATAACATTTCATGGGGTGTTTGGGTGCAAGGGCATCTTCTGAGCTTGGGCGGTGTGACCTAGGCGTTCTTCTCTGGTCCCAAGGGTGCCAGGGCTCTCCTCACTGATGGTGATTGTCTTTCCCCCAGGCCTGAAGCTGCCAACGAGTTTTATGATGGTGACCACGATAACGACAAAGAGAGTGATGTTGAGATCTGAGGGCTCTAGTGTGGGGCTCCGGACTATGGGGGGTCCCGCATCGGACATGGGTGCTTGGAGCAGACAACTGGGCCATGTAGGAGCCAGTTAGCCCTCCCTTCATATTTGGTTGCATGCGGTGGCAGCAGAAACAACACCACTGCAGGCTTCTGCTACCTGGAGAGGCAGAGAGCAGTGAAATGTGTTCCTTACTTTCCACCACATGTCACAGTTCCAGCTGTCGCCACTCTGGGAAATGGAAATCCAAGTAGCACTTGGATCTGTGCTGTGTACTGGCTGGCAGCCATGTGACTGCCTTCAGAGCCTAACCAGCGCTGGTTCAGTCACGCCCGTAACTCCCGTGCCAGCTTCTGCCAGCAAGGTGGGAGCTGGAGCAGTTGTGCCTACGACTTCTGCCTCTTTTCAGCAGCAACGCGTGATACATCCTGCTCTCCCTGGCCCTCCACTCAGGTACCCAGTCTATTGTCCTCTGAAGCCTGCACTGAGGGTTGCTTCCTGATGTCCCTTCTAACCCTGTGACGCTCCACAGCTCAAGGAAAACCATTCAAGAAGACAAGGCCAGTTGTGGGATAGGGATTGGAGTGTCCCTGGAGCAGGGAGCAGCTTGATGGAGCAGAGTGGAAGAATGTATGCAGAGCATAGTCTTGTTTGTTCCCCCCGTACTCAGTTTTGCATTCACAAACAAGTACTGCAACACTTTGCCGAGTTGGACCTAACCCCCCTGTTTCCTTTACTCTTTGAGGGGCTAAAATCACTGTGGAACAGAGGTTTGGCTGCCAAGGTCAGTACGTAGTGTGTCTTGCACCTCTAATGTAGCTTCCAGCTGTGTTTTCCAAGTTCACACATGGCCCTTCTGTGTGTTAGCAAGAGATTTGGGCAGTTTGCTCAGAGTGGAAACCATTCTCTCTTGACTGTACCCAGGAGACATCGCTCTGCTCGTGGGTGAGGGACACTGCTTCCTCCAAGTCCTGTCATCTTGCCCTCACACAGCAGAGATTTCTCTCGGCCTTCCCTCAAATCCCAGACTTTGCTGCTCCTTCTCCCGAGTCATCACCTGGTACCTGTTGTGGTATGGAGTGCACCGTTCGGGGAGGTGGGAGGGGTTTAGCTTCTGACTATCTGTACTGTTATGTTTGTTTACTGATGTCTTTAAACATTAAATGAAGAGGCAGTATTTTTCTTACCTGACCTGTTGTTCGTCTGTTTAATGCTCACACCTTTTTGGGTCCTGTCCTCCCAAGGATTGAGAACATGCGTATCATCCCTGGCCAGGGTAGTGTCCTCTGCTGTCTGACCTGTCTGAATGAGCGGAGGGCATTCAGCTCCTCAAAGTGTATGCTGGTGAGTTTTGAGCATCACTGCACAATGAGGAGAGAGCCCTGAATTCCCTTACAAGAGGACCTGTGGGCTGATGGACGCTCCTGCTTGTGCCTCCGATTCCAGTAAAATCTTTGCAGAAAGCTGCAGAGCTGGTTCAAGAAACCTTTCCTGCAATTGTTTTAAAAATCATGGTTCCTTTGAGTTGCAGTTTCTGTAAGAGTCTGCTCTTTGCAGTCTCGCTTCCCTAAAGCCTATATTAGTGACTATTTTTCTTCGTTTTTTAGACCTGCCACTATCTCTCTCTGCACTTGTCACTTTATCAAATAAGCTCATGCTGGTCTTTGTGGATTGACATTCTTCTTAGGTCTAGTCTCTGCCAGTAAACCTGTGGAAAAACAAGAGAGAAAAAAAAGTATTGAACTGAAGGTGTCTAACATGGTAGGTGAAGGCCAGAGGGAGACACCAACTTGACCAGATCTGTTGATGTGTTCACAGGTGGTGCCCGTTCCTGTTAGGATATTTACGCAAGTGCCAGCCCAAGGCTTCAGCTCCATGGGGAGGAGGTGAAGTCTGGCCACAAGTGAGCTACAGTTCATGTAACTACAGCATGAAGCAGGCAGTAAGTCAGTGTTACTCCCACTAGGTGCCCAGAGAAATAAGTTATGGTAGAATTAGACTAGGTGTGGGGAAGGATGATCAAAGGTATAGCACAGCTCCCATATGAGGAATGACTCGATGGGTGAGGATTCTTCAGCTGGAGAGAGAGAACTGAGCTGGTAAAGGATTTGTAAGGTCTGTAAAACGACAAGTGTTGGACAGGGTTTCTCCAAATATTTAGATAGTAGGGGAGCATCAAATGAAACTCCCAAGGGCCAGCTCAAAAGAGGTTGCTTTGCACACACCTAGTTGAGCTGTGGAAGCTTTTGCCACCAGGTACTGTGACTGTGGTTTCAAAAAGGGACTGGGGGGGAGGGGGGGAGGGGGAAATCAAGGTTGTTAATACAAAGGCACACTGGGTGCAAATTGTTGGTGACTGGGAGAGTACTCTGTGAAGTATTGCTGCGTCCTTACCCTGTGCTTGTACCATTCCTGCATTTGCTGTTTGGCTGCTGCGGAGCGGGCACTGGGCTAGATGGACCTTACTCTGACCCCTCTTTGGTCAGCTGTATTTGTTTCTAGTATTCTGTAGCCGAGAAAATGTTCTTTGCAAATCAGAAGACACAAAATGCTGCTTCAGTGACTAGCCAGGCTTGTGAAAAAGAAACGCTTGTGTCTGAATAGAAAATAAACTTGTTTTATTCCGGCTTGCCTCTCACCTGGTGTCGGAGAGCCGGCTTGTTCCCTCTGCTGCTGTCATCACCCCCTGTAGCAAAACCAATTTACAGGGGCAATTCAGGCTCCCGCCTTGGGTAGCAGGCAGTGTTTGCTTGGGGGGGGAGGGAAGGCAATTTCTTCCCTTGTAACTCTCTCTTACGTGTGAAGATGGGAATGAACTTACCAAAGCTCGCAGCCCATTCTTCCCCTCAGCGCTGTCCCAGCTTTCTCTTTTCAGAGCCCTGCTCTGTCCTGCACTTTGAAACAGGGCTGGAAATCTGGAGTGTTGTCTTGCCTGGATTTCTAAAGGTGGACTTGTTTTGTTTTTAGAAAACACATTCAGTCTGTAGAGTTGTGGTTTTGCACTGCAGGAGAGCTGTCAAAAATAAGAAAGCGTGCATTATACTTGCTATCCAGTATTTGCAGCGTTACTGGAGCCGTGTTAGACCAGAGTTTATCCCTGGCATCGCCCAGTCACAGATGCCTGGTGCTGGGGTAAGACCAGGCTGACCCCAGCCTTGATGAGGTGACAAACCTGCACCTCCCGGCGGCTGGGTCACCGGACCACTGGTAGGCTGCTCCCTAAAACACTGGGTGGGCTGGCAACAACTGGAATTAAAAGAGGCCTGATTTAATTATCCATAGGAAATGTTTGAGAACACGCGCTTGCACAACTCTGTCCAACAGCGGTACTTTCTAAGGTGCAGGACTGCCCTGAGTTGCAGTGGTGGGTGTGCAGCGGGGGTCAGGGGAGGGTGAAGGCCATTTTGGGTGCTAGAGCATCATTTTTCCTCCCTTTTCCCTCTCCCCCTCGCCCCCCGGCCCGGCCCAGCCCCTGCGGCACCCAGGGCGTGGCGGCGGCGCGGGGAT